CCACACTTAGTCCCTCTAGGGCAGTGTTTCTCAACCTTGGTGACTTTTAAGTCCTGAGGACTTCAACTCCCAGAATCCCCCAGCCAGCTGGCTGGGGGTTTCGGAGTTGAAGTCCACAGGACTTAAAAGTCGCCAAGGTTGAGAAACACTGCTCTAGGGGTATCAGCTCTGGAGTTGCAGGGGAGGCCTTGGTCTCATCCTGCTTGTAGTAGGAAAGAATCAGGGCTTCTCCCTTTGGAGCCATAGCTGTCTCCATTAGCGATGCCATTTGATCCCCAATCCCCCTTTTTAAACTTGTCTTGGGGCTTTTGCTTATGAATGAACACGAGCCATGGGGGGGGGGCGCTTAGGACATCCACCCTGTTGCAGGATGGTTCTACAGATGGGCACCTTCCCAAAACAAAGGAACCAGCCCAAGCCTGCTCCCTGTTCCTGAGGCTTGCAGGCGGGCGAGGTTTCTGGGGAAGCAAGGAAGTGGGAGATAGAACAGAATGTCACTGTCTGGGGTTGACCCCAGCAATGCTGCTAATTTTGCCATGTCCCTCTTTCAGGGGTGGAGGGGGGGAAAGGTGGGGTTTTATTTTTTTAAGCTTTTTTTTTAATTGCTTGGATGCAAATGCCCTCCAGTTCTTACTCTTTGATACTTGTATTGGTGAAAGAAAAGATCATTGTATATGTGTGTTCTGGGGGTGGGTGGGATGGGAATATATATATAGTGTTTTTTAAAAGAAAAGCTTTTTATTTTCATTTTTGCAGGGAAAAAAGTCTTTGTAATAAAATGGATCTGTTTTTCTGTTTTTGGCGGTGAATTCTTGCAGGCAGCAATCTCCCAAAGTGTATCACTACTGGAGCAGCCCATTTGAGTATCCCCCAATATTTCTTTTGCTCTGGGATCCTGCCCTCAGTGGGGTCAACGGTTGCTGCACAGGGCCGCCCTAGTGCTCAGCGCTCATATGAAACAGGCTTGTTTTCTAAGATTTCCCCCTTCTCACCCCAGAAAAGTCCTGTCTTCAGGATAATACAGCCCAGAACCGTGATGACGTGTGCGCTGGCCAGCTGATCGTATGATGTACATGTGCACCAGAACCCAGAAGTTTGGCTTTTCTGGAACACTGCCCCGATGAGAATGCACACATGACATTACCGTGCGTCCTTTTTGGCACCCAGTGGTTCGCCATCAGTGGTCTAGAATTTGGTACATGTATCCAGAGAGTGATAAAGATGGAACGATCTATGGAAGTAATGTGCAGACAACATGGAAGTGCAGCTGGTAAAGCATGGGCTCCCTCCCTTTAGGGTAGAAAAGGGTTACTGACAGCAGATGCTACTTGCTTTGGGACCAGGTCTGTCAAAACTCCTGGCCCATGGGCCAGATGCGTCATGCGCTGGCCACGCTTGATTTAGCGAAGGGGAAAGTACCAATAAGTCATGTGACGCCACTATGACATGAGTTTGACACCTGTTCTAGACAAAAGTGTAAAACAGCTGGGAGGTTCTGGATTCTAACAAACTTGGGAAACTAATGGCCTTCTCAAGTGTGGCACATTCTGGAACTCCAGAGGCAGCAGTTTACCAATTGTGCCAAACTTTGGCTTACTTAAAAGCAGTTCTAGTTTAATGCTGCACATAAACCCAGTTTGCATATACATGTTAGGTAAAGCTTCCCCTCGCACACATGTGCTAGTCGTTCCTGACTAGGGGGCGGTGCTCTTCTCAGTTTCAAAGCCGAAGAGCCAGCACTGTCCGAAGACGTCTCCGTGGTCATGTGGCCGGCATGACTCAATGCCGAAGGCGCATGGAACCCTGTTTCTTTCCCATCAAAGATGGTTCCTATTTTTCTACTTGCATTTTTTACATGCTTGCGAATGGCTAGGTTGGCAGAAGTTGGGACAAGTAACGGGAGCTCGCGGTCCTAGGAATTCAAACTGCCGACTTTTCTGATCAACAAGCTCAACATCTTAACCTCTGCGTCCCTACTATACATGTTACTTTGCACCTAAATGGGCGGAGGTTCTGTCTGACCAGTCTCTCATGCAGAATGCCACTCCTTCAGTATTCCAACGCCTCCAACTTTTGATGTTCCCTATGAGCTGCTTGCCACACTGAAACATTTCAGTGTTGTTTTATCATCAATTTTGCTTGTGGGGCATGGTTGTTGGAAAGGTGCTCAGAGCCAGGCATTTTCCAGTTTCCATTGTGAAATTGACCAAATGGGGGGAAAGGGAATTGACTCCACTGAGCAGAGCACTCAGGAAATCATAGGATGAATGGGCACCTGTTTTTTGCTTCCTTGGAGGAAACGATGGTGCTCTGCTGGCAGATCAGCCAAAGCTGGATTTAAAAGGGGCGAAAACGGTATGAACAGTGGGACCAGGTAATCTCTTAATAAGCTCCGGCAGCTACGCCCAACACATCCCATTGAAGCTTTTGTTCTGGCTGCTGCATCTACAGTAGTTTTTTTTTTTATTAAAAAAAACGCAGCGTATTCAGAACATCCAGGGAGAGTCAAGTGTGGCTAAGGAGTTGAACTAGGAACAGAGAACTTGGGTTCAAGTCAAGATGCACCCTAGTGACTTGGGTTAGTCAACAGGTTCGATACGAGACAAAAGGGGGGAGGGTAGTGAGAGTAAAAGTCCAAGATTCAAGTGCTGTGTTTCTCAACCTTGGCAACTTGATGTCTGGATTTCAACTCCCAGAATTCCCCAGCCAGCAAATGCTGGCTGGGGAATTCTGGGAGTTGAAGTCCGGACAACTTCAAGTTGTCAAGGTTGAGAAACTGTTCTAGTGTCTTCAGTTTCTGAGGAAAAGGGATAAGAATTTAGTAAGTCCCTGGTACTTATCATTTGGAGCCCTTTTTCAACTGGAAGTTCATTCAGATTCTCCATCTGGACGGAACAAGAAATTTTTTTTTTTCTTACGTCTATAGTTTCCACCCAACAACTCTCATCACAAGGCTGGTGCATCTCAACTTACCTAAAGAGCAAACCATGTGGTTTGGGAAGGATGTAAGCCATAGCGAGAAACCACAGCTAAGAACCCTTTTAGCGCTTACATCACCATTTTACTTGAATCCCCGGAAGGATTGGTGGCCTAATAAACAACTGTTTGCCAACCATTATCGCCTATTCTCCAAAGACTAGGAATTGTTTTGTTCAAGGACGGCATTGCAGCTGCTTCTCACAGCAGCAGGTAACTAAAGGCCAAAAGACTTCACCAAATTCACCCATCTCCCACTTGCATCCCGAATGTGCCATTGCTGGTGCCAGAACAGTAGGCGCATCGATTCCTTAGGTTGATCGAAGAGCCCGAATGGCTTTTGAAAACTGATCCGCCACCAGCAGGTGATAGTTGCAAGGCCCAATTGTAACAATTAACAAAAGGAACAGATTTTGGCAGGGCAAGTTGCTTTATTTCAAAAAAAAAAAAGCCCCCAAAACAAACACTGATTTTGTTGGTGGCTGCTGGGATTGGAGGAATTAGTGTGATTAGTCCTCCATAATCCGATGTACTCCTGAAACATTGCACTACACCTCCTATCACCCTCAGCCAACACAGGCTGCAGCTTGTCTTGTCATGCTTTCTAATGAAGGGCATGGAGTGCTGATCAGCAAAATATTCTCTTCCCATTTGCTCACTGGCTCTTCCCTGAAGTCAAATGATTTGCAAGAATTGAGGCAAGAAGCCAATATATAAATAGACAAACATATGATGAAATATACAAGAATGTTTGGCCATCCCTGTCCCCAAACAAGACCTGGCAAGCCAATTAGAATAGGTGCTGAGCTCAAGACTTGTCAAAATAACAAATTACTTGGATGCTGCTTGATCCACCTGCCTTGCTTTCTAGAATCTCCCACCCCACCCCCAATAGCCCAGAAGGCTAATCTTCTGTCCAGAAGGACCACCATCCTTTGTGTCAGTATTTCTTGGCCCCATGACCTGTGCAGTGGGCAGTTAAAACCATATGCCAATACATTCTTTTGGCACTTTTGTCTGCCTCCCACCACTATGGCAGGGAACCTGCAACCAGGGACAGCTTGAGAGTGGTTGGTTCCTATAGCTGCAACTCCCTGCCTCCCTCCATCTTAGGCAGGAGAAACTAGGACTGCTGCCTCATATGGTGATTAGCAGGCGCCTCTCCCTGATCTAAGATGAGTTAAAATGGCTGCCAGACCACATTCCAGTTCCAGCTCCACTGTCAGAAATGCTTCTCTTACTCTCCCCCCCCCCCAACCCAAGCTGCAGTTTTGAAAATCTACTGAAGTGCTTTCAACATCTGGAGCCATTTGCATGCAGCACAAAACACCATGTGAAGCCCATCCTATCATCCCCCCCTGGAGATTCCAACAAGATTTACTGGTATCCATTCAGACATGCAGAGCCAACGTTTACGCTACCTGCTAACTAAGGCTGGAGAGGATCGTTCTGCCTGAAGAGATGCATGCGGAGTCGAGTAATGAGGGCTCCCTTGCTTGGAAAGGCTGATGGCTAGAGAAAAAGCCATCTCCGCTGCTTGCCTGGCCGCCTATTCATTGAGCCACACAGGTCAAGGCAGGGAGGAAGACCCTGTGGAGGCAACTGTAGAGACATAGATGTGTCTCTTGCAGGAATTCCTACTCTTTACAAGAGAATCCTAGAGTGTTCTCCAACAAGCCTCTTAATAGCCTATGAAAGAAAGCTGCATGCATGATTAAGACTCCACCCAGATCTGTCCTGAAGCTTAGGGCTTCTAAGGAAATCGGTCTGCCCTCTCCTGACATGTAGCTTGAATGGAGTAAATCTATGCCTGACTGTGATAGGCACAAGCCATTTCTTCTTGGCCTCAATTCTGAGGCATGCAAGTGCCCTCCAAATGCAGGAGTTCAACTTCCATTGAAGAATTGGAGAATACAGAAAGAGAAACCAGCATTTCAAAGGAAAGGATATCTGGGAAAACATGAAGCTACTCAATTATTGGCCACTTGGCCAACTGCTAGAGAAAAGGACCCAACTCCGATCCATAAAGGGGTCACCATTTATTCTTTTCAAATGTTACAATAAGACCCATACGACTTTTGTTTAGGAGTTAGAAAACTGCAGATCAGAAGTAGGGTCATTAAAAAATTATTTACAAAGACAAGAAAATGAAAATTTAAAGTCACATCATACAGCCAGCCCTCTCCCTCAACCCTCTCCCACCCCCTCCCTAAAGGTTCCCCCCCATCCCTAAATAAGCCGCCAGTAATTCTCCCTCTGATGTCAAATTAAACACAGTGAACTTACACGCTGCTTTATGGTTTTAAAGCCAAGAGCAAGACATTATAAAAAACTAACCAGATTAGCTTTTTAAATGGTTGTTTCTATAAAAAGCACAAAATATTTTTAAATGAAGTCAGAACCAGGAATGTAAACCGAGATAGAGAATATCCGTTTTGAAAAACGGGTCAGTTGTTGCTGGTTTGTTGGACTTTTTGGAGAAAAAAGAAAAGCTGCTTTTGAAGATTAGTAGAAACAGAAGATCTGAGGAAAAAGAACTTGGTGTTAATAGCTGGAGTCTCATTCAATGGAGCAATTTCCAGTTTTTGTCCAGGATCAGTTATCTCTCCATATAGTTTTAAGGGGGGGGCTTTAGAACTCCTGCTTGAGGGACAATGGGGCAAAAGTCAGGTGTTTTTTTTTCCTTCACTGTGTGTGGAGACACTGTGGAGAGACAAAGCTTGCCATCTCAATGCAGAAGGCCTGTGTGTGTGGCGGGCATGTGTGGCATGTGGTCAAGGCAGTAGTTCTGTGGGGTTGTCAGGATTGGAAGGATGGCACAGTTCGCTTTCCGATGGGCAGGAGGTGGGCAGCTAAGTCAGCTCTACTCTTCTTTCTGCTCTGCAGCAGCAGCCTGGTCGGCCACAGTGCTAGGCTCCACTTCCACAGATGTTGAGGTTCCTTCTGGCTTTACATCCCCCTGGCCCTCACTGGAAGGCAGCTGCTGAGGCTCTTCCTCCTCCTTGGCTGGCCCCTCGCTGCCATCTTGCCGCTTGGCCACCGGTTCATTGTCGGGAGCAGAGGCCACAGTGGGGGTTTCCTCGGGGGCCTCTGTCTCCTCTTGGGGCACGCTGGCCTGCTCCCCCTCCTCGGTGGCAGCAGTGGCTGGCTGGTCCTCAGCCTCCGCTGCTTCGGCCTTCACCTGCTGCTCCTCGCTGGGAGAGGAGGTGGCCGACACGTCCCCGGCTTCCTTTTTGGCTTTCCGGAAGGAAATGCCACTCAGTTTGAAGGATTTTTTGAACGAGAACCGCTTCTTCTTCTTGGGGGTCTGCTTGGTGGAAGCAGCTCCGTCGGGTTTGGCTTCCCCCTCAGCCACCGGGGCTGGCTCTATGGCATCTCCGCTGCCCATCTCGGCCTTGGCAAGCTCCTTGGGGGCCTCCACTGAGCCACTGCCATTCAGGGAGCTCACCTCCCCATCGGCTTTTGGGGAGACATCCCCATTGACTTTCACGTGGCCGTTTTCCTGGAGGAGGAAAGAAAAGGGACACCAGTGTTACAGCTTTGAAAAAGCAGCTCAGCATCTGTGCATCCCCTCCGGCTGTCCTCCCCCCCCCCAATTGCATGAGGGGAAAAACCGTTCCCCCCGTAGTGCCAAGGGATGAACCCTGGCAATAGCAGAGAACCTTGACTGCCCTCACACAATGCATCACTCCAGGACTGAATTCATGCATTTTTCTGGGCTTTCCCCCAGCATTCAACCCAACCCTCCAAATGACCCGCTTTATCCAACATATGGAGCAGCAGAAAACTGACTTTGTCTCCTGTATTTATTCTTCCAGAAACCCGGCTGGTTTTCCTCCCATCCGGAGCGCAAACCCTTTGCCCCCGAATCCCGCCCGGACTCGCCGTTCCTGGGAGGCGGCCGCAACGTCCCTCCCCGAGAAAGCAAGCCTACCGCGCGCCGTCGCTAGGGGGCGCCCCGCTCCCGCCTGAGTTGCAGCGCCGACGCCGCGCTCAGGCCGCAGGAGGCAAAGGGGTAGGAGCGGCGGCGCGGCTGGGAATCCCCCGCTCTGGTCAAACAGGCGGGGAGGGGGGGGGGCTTTCTCTCCCGATGCAAAGCCCCGCCATTAGGCCGCTGCACCGGAGGGGGAAGGATGGGCGCAAGGCGAGAGGAGCCCCCGCGAGGGCCACGTTAGCAGAAGCGCTTCCCGCCCGTCGGTCCCTTCCAGGCTCCAGCGCCCCGCCCCGCCCGCCAAGCCAGAGGAGCTCCGGGCTTCCTTGCAAAAGGGCGGAAACCGGGGGGGGGGGCTTCTTCGCCGTCGCCTGCAGGGAGCGCGACCACCGCCCGGGAGCGCCGCCCTTGCCCGGGAATGCGCGCAATGCAGCGGCGGGACCCAGCGCGACGGGCCCTTTGTTCCCCGCCGGGAAGGGATGCGCTCCGTCTACAGGGCTCCGCGTCGAACAAAGGAGCAGCACGCCGGGCGGGCGCTGGGAAGAGGCGGCGGGGCGCGTCTGGCGGGCTCCGGGCGACCGTTCCGAGAGTCTGCCGCGCCCCACTCGGATGCGGGCGGCGGCGGCGGCAGCGCGGGGAACAATGGCCGTTGAGCGGGCGCGTCCCCAGACCCACCTGGCCGTTGGACTTGGCGGGCGAGGCGTCGCCGGCAGCAGCAACGGCGGCGTCCTGAGCCACTGCCTCCCCCTTGGCGGCTTTGGAGCTGTGGCTGCCCATGGCGGCGCGGCGGCGGGCGACACGGGCGCAGGCGGCGATGCGGGAAGGAGCCCCGGCCGCCTCAAGGGACTCTGCGCGGTGGAGCCAGCCCAGGGGGCGCCGCGTCCGGGCGTCGCTGGCACGGAGGGCTCCCAGGCTCGGCCGTTGCAGCCTCGGCGCAGACCCTGCCTGGCGCGCGCTCCTTCTGCTTGCTCTGAGCCCGGTGCGCAAAAGCGGCGGCTAATAAGGCTGCCGCACGCGCGGGGGCGGGGCCCGGCGCCCGAGTCCCGCCCGGGGGAGGCGGCCAGGGGGGGGCGGGGGGCTTCTCTCGCTCGCTGGGGCGGGGGGCGCTGCAGGGCGCGGCCCTGGCCAGCCCCGGAGACCCTCGCCGGGCAGCGCCTGAGCAGCCCACGCATGCCGTCCCCGCTTGCGCCAGTGCGCCTGAACATGTGCAGAGGGCGCTTCTCTGCCTCGCGCTCTGCTGGAACGCTTGGTAAATCAGGTTCGGGGTCCCAGGCGCAGGGCCGGGGCTCGAGCATATGGCCGCTCCCGTCGGCTGACTTTGAGGACATGCCCCTCCCTCCTTCTTAGGGTGCGCTCCCCTTTGGTTCGGGATGTGGAAACCCCTCGGGGCCCCCTCCGTGTTGACGCTACTGTAAAGATGCTGATCAAGTTGGCTTAATATGGTTTAGCGGATGAAACACGGTCCGCTTGGGGTTGACAGCATAGGTTGGAGTGTGAATTATGGACAAGTCCCAATAGCATAGCAACATCCTGACTTGAACACACGTGCAAACTATAGGATGGCTTAGCCTGATGATTGCATCTTAACTTTCTTAAGGGCCAAAACTGCCTTTCTTCAAATTTTGCTTCTTTCGCTTCCTGGCTTAAATCTGAAGGTTCTGCATTCAGTTAAGGAAGTTAAGTGTTGAGCTGCTGTTAGGGCTTTATTTTTAGAATTTCACAAAATGCCAATTTGGTAGCACAGAAGGTGGGATAGAAATTTGTGACTGGCTGATTTTAATTAGTATACTTCCATTGATTGTGTGTGATGTTACGACTTTTTGGATTAGATCGGTCTCTTGAAGAGCTGCCGAGGGTCATCCCTTCAAAATAAGTGGACAAGATTAGATCTTTCATGGACATTTCCCACCACAATAATAATGGGCTGAGCAAGCTGGAAGAAGTTAAATTTAGGACAGTAGGCATAGTTAGGAATAATGTGTGTGTGGTGCTTTCCTTTATGTGCTCCTGTTGGCTAATCAGGCCCCATCCACACACATACAAGTGCTACCTCGGTAGTCAACCACTTTGAAACTCATCAAATTTGGTACTCAAACTTCTTTTTGTCCTGGTATTCACCATTCGTTTGGTAAATTTTGTCCTGGTATTCACCGTTCGTTTGGTACTCAACACACATGCTAGAACTTGTTGGTGTCTGTTGTCTTGTGATTCACTATATTATTCCTTAATGGGAAAAAATTGTTAAGGTACCACTGTACTTTTCTCCTGACTCCCACCCTGTGGATACCCATTGCAGAAATGACAACATATTAAAATTTTAAACAATGAAATGATGCCTTCAAACCTGCTGTTGATACTATTTGATTGTTTCTGGCTGCAAGAGAGGAAGAGATCTTTTCCCCTTGAGAAAGCCAGAGAGAAGATTTGAGTGGGTGTAGCTTTCAAGTGTTAAGTAAGGGAACTTCCTACTGCAGAGGCAGTATACCCCTAATCTCCATTTGTGAGTTTCCTGGGGACATGTGGTTGGTTGTGCTTGGAAGTGAGGATTTTTTTATTTCTGACGCAGCCATTCCTGGGCCTTTGTACAGTATTTACCTCTCAGATTGTAAAATACTGTACCGCTTTCGCTTTGAGTTGTTGTCAGTTTCCTAAGAATTGATTTGTCTGCACACAATACGCAAAGCCTCTTGCCAAGACTGTCCTGTTTTATTTTTTATCCTGGGGTGGGGGGGCAGGGTGTGAAATGGGGTGGGGGTTTAAGGAAGGGTTTAAGACTGGGTGAAGGTGAGAGAACATGACCTCACTGTGATTTAGTTGATTAGATTATCAGTGGAAACTGATTAACTTCCACCCCAAGGACAGGCTTGCAACACCAGACCCCTTTTCTTCACAGAGGGGCACATTAGGGCACGGGAAAGCCATGGAGTACGCTGGCCATTTGTGGGTCTGACCCCTTTCTCCTGCTGCTGCTGGGACCCAGGTTGCCAGAGCAGAGAGCAGCTTCAAGGCCAGCTCCCAGAACCTCAAACAACAGAGGTCCTTTTATTGCTCTCCATCAGGTTGTGTCTTGGGCTGGAAGAGAATTAAGTGGTTTTTTAAAAAAAATAAAGTTTTTTATTTTTTTAATACAAATAACATTTATGAACAAAGCATTGTCCAAGTTGTCCTCTTTTACATCCTCTTTTATACATAATCCAGTTTACATCATGATTCTATTTCCAATTTGAACTCTTATTGTTCTCTTCACATATTTTCCATCTTAAACTTCTTGTTATATAAACAATATTAATTGCCCCTTCAAAGTTATACCAAATTATCATTTCATGATTCCTCTTTTCATCTATTTTACCCTAATGAAACCATCTAGTTATTTTTTTTAGTTCCTTTTTCTTCTATTCTTGTTCTTCAATTGAGCCCTCTTTTACTATCTATTTCCTGGTCTGAGTGCTCCATCTAAATTTCTAGCTTATCAGAACTAAGTGAATTGAATTCCTTCCCTTGGTTGGGTCCTTTCCATTGGAGCCCTTGGAGGTCCAAGAAGAAAGAGACCTTCTGGCTTTCAAGAGATGAAAGATGCTGGGGTGGGACTTCATTATCTTTCACTAGCCGCCTCCCTCCCTAAAAAAAATATTGGTTTCAAGCAAGGGGCATCCTTAGGGTGGGGCTCAGAAAAAGTTGAGATAGTGATCATAGGTGCTGTGCAAACCATATGAAAAAGGAGGGCTTTGAGAGAGTGATTCTAGCCACCATCTTGATGTTTCTGATGCACCCTGGAGATAATGTTTCTGTTTTTATAATTGTATTTAAAGTTTTTTTTTCCAAGATAAAAACTAATATGAAAGACAGGAGAGAGGGAGGAAGCTAAAATGCATGAAAGAAAGTAAAAGAAAAATAGAAACAAAGAAGTGGTCTCTGATGTTTACAGCAATTATGACTAGAATTATAAATTTACCCATTTCACTATATTTACAACATGTCTCTCTTCTGTCTATAATCTGTCCTATCTGTTCATAAAAACCATAAATCATCTGTTCCATTTTTTTTAATTTTTTGCTAAATTCCAATTGGGATTTCCAGTCAGTACTCAGAGACGAATTTTTAAATCTAACTGCGTCGTGATGTCATTGCACAAATGGCCAAATTGCCACGACTTGTGTATTGATATAAGAAGCAGGTGATGTCATGACGGATTTTAATGCACCCCATTGGTATGTTTAATAAAGTATGCAATTCTTTTCTTCACCACGGACCCCCTTCACCACGGACCCCCCTTTTGTTGCCACAGAATCCCCCCAAGATTTAAATCACAACATTTCTTCAAGCCTTTGCTTGAAGATCACCCCCCACTGGGGTCCACAAACTACAGGTGGAGAACCACTGCAATACATCATACATACAGTACACATCAATGTTTTTCAACCTCAGGAGCTTTAAAATTGGTACATTTCAGCTCCCAAAATTCCCCAGCCAGCATGGCCGTTGAAGTCCATCCATCTCAAAGTTGCCAAGGTTGAGAAACACTACAGGTGGCAAAGACATGGCCCAAATGTCAGATGCTCTCAGACATTCGGGTCATTCATACTCAAAAGACACCACAAGCAAGCTTCCAACAAAGTGTGAACCACAACAGCAGCAACACAACCTGCCAATGGGTTGTGCACATATGCCATTCTATCTCTCTCAAGGCAACCTGGATCAAGTGCAGGAACAACAAACCATCAAGCCAGAAATTAAATGAAAAATGACAAAACCACAAGCAGATGGGGGGGAAAAGAGAATTTTGGAAGTGGGGGCATATGGATCAGTGGTGGGTTCTGGGCAGTATGCCCCAGTACGGTTGAGAGCAGTGGTCACCGTACTGGAATGGTGTTTTGGAGGGCCCACCTGCCCGCCCTCGTTCCTTACCTCTATTTGAGCTAACCGAGCCATTTGTGCATGTGTGCGCAGTGTACAGTGCCTGTGTGACCTCCGCCGAGCAGCTGGAGCGTCGCAGGACAGTGGGTGCATATGTGTGTGCAGCGTGCATGCTCGTGGTGGACACCTGGCCCCATTGCAGCTTACCGGTTGCGACGGGATCCGGAACCCACCACTGATATGGATATGTATTCATATATATCAACAAGTGAAATACCTATATTAATATTCCTATTTAGAATGGCATTTCCACAGAAGGAAGATTTTAAGAGAAGCATTATCTCTAGATAAAATGGGAGAACAGATTTCAATACATTTATTCTTGCCAAGCCTTACAAAGTTGCATTTTTTGCCAATATACAGTAATTTCCCATATTTAGTTTGCCAGTAAACAAGCAGCTGAAAACAAGAAGAGAATTGACAAGAGGATTATTGGATGATTTTGCCTAATTTCTTTAAATCTGTTCGATCCCCCCAAAGAAGGGCAGATGACCATAGGCATTGCAAGACCACCAACAAAATCCAGGCAGCTGATCATGGTATACAAAAGTTTGCATGTAGTGAATTGGCTTGGTGCAAACTCTGGATCAGTTTTTCGGTCAGTTCTTGAGACAGCAGTGCAATTCAACCTTGGCTACCTTAATACATGTGAACTCTCCAACCAATATTAAAAATTCTAATCCCAGAACTGTCTGACAACGATCATTTCTGCAGAGTAGTATGTGAAATACCTCTGTGTTTGACTGACGCAAGAGGAGTCATGATTTAAGCCAATGGTAGATTCCTACCGGTTTGGACCGGTTCAGCCGAACCAGTAGTGGTTTGGTGGCTCGGTTCGGCAGTGACCCAGGGCTGCCACGCCTCCGAACAGGTTGCCCGGTTGGCACCATCAGTGGTACCATCTTGTTTTTCAGTTCTGCGCATACGCAGAACAATTTTAATTGCATTGTGCATGTGTGTGCAGTGTGCATCAAGCACATGTGCAAAGTGTGCACACAAGCGAACCGGCAGTAGTACCAGCCAGAACCCACCCC